GCTGTTGCGACAGATTGGATAAGTTCAGAGGTTGTGTACTAAGGAAGATGGCTCCATGTATGTCTTTATGTTTATACGTATTTCAGATTGTGTGAAAGATCTAGAACATGTAATAAAGTAATCTAACAGTTGGTATCAGAGCTTAAGGTTATTCACACATATCTGTAATTGTTGTTCAAGCATGCCTACTATGTTTTCATATATGTTCATGCCGTGATGAGTTTTTGGTTATGTTTAAAATTTGAAGATGGATTAAACATGTTTTCTAAGATATCAAGAATATTAAAGAATCTGGAAAAGCATGTTTTTGATTTGTTTTTCATATTTTCAAAACTTTAAACACGTTTTTGACCTAGCAGTTGACCTTAAAACTCTAAAAATGCCTATAGCTCACAGCAAAGCTATGAGTTGTGTTAATTAGGTTATTCCCTATTCAAAAAGGTATTTGCGTATAAAAATGGACATAAAAAACCCCTAAAACACTGTTCATGGCAGATTTTGCTATTCACTGCAATTTAGGGTTTTCTTTTCTTGAACTGTGTTTTTTGTTTGGTTATTTTCTTAGCTAGATTGTGTTTGCCTTTGTTCTGAGAATCAACAAACTTTTCATAACAAAACCAAACCTAAAAACTCAAACCCTAAAGAAATAATCGAAGATTGCATCATACTTAAATTGCTTGATAAGTTTCTTCAACAAATAGAATCTATCATGTAATTTGTTTGTGATGGCACAAGATAACATGTAATTTGTGTAAGCTATAAGTAATCTCTTGCCACAAAGGTGTGATACTTAATTAAGGAAGTTTGCATGTGTTATTTGTTAGTTTTGTGAATAAAGTTAAACGGAAAACTGTTTTCTCTTAACAAATTGAGAATCGGTTTCTTGGAAAGTATTTATGCTTTTCTTTTGCAAATCCTTACAGCTTTGAACACTCTCTTAATCAATTTCTCGCAAAAATTGGAACACTCACTAGTCAAATTTCAAAAGATGGAAGTTTGATTTTAAGGATATTCTCGGAATGAATGAGATCAATTATGATCTCACTCATGTTATTTGTTCGTTTATGTATCCTATAGAATGACTCCAAAAGTTTGGGAAAAAGGAGAAGCATTTGGCTTTTAATAGGTGTCACTCGTGTCAACTTATCACGAATGGCATTCTAGTAAAGAATATAGTGGAGCTAATTAAGAAGCGGAACGAAGATAAGTTGGAGTGAAAAAGGATTAAGGCGCAGCGACGTCGTCGACCTTATGGAGGACCCATAATAATATACACGGCTACAAAGAACAATCTCAGAAATCTCAGGATCGTTGTAAAGCTCAGTGTATGTGCTTATGGGAGAGGACGAAACATCAATAAGCTACTTCGATGCAAGAATCTCCTAGTGTAGCCTGTGAAACTTACCCCTGAACCTGAATCGCTTATTGAAGAAGGGAGAGGCTTCAAGTCCGAGTAGGAGCATTTTTCTCAAGTTCTCTCTTTCCTCCTCCTCATTTTGTAGCATTTCGTCGATATCTTTCATGGCTAGTGGATTCAACTTAACACTCTTCGGTAACCCTTTAGACTGCGACAATTCCAACCCCGCAATCTCATCAGCCGAAACCTTTGAGCATGAGGACCCATAGTTGCGCAGCTTGACCAAGGCATGAAAACGAGTATGAGGATAACAATTTTTCAGAAACCAAATTGAGGTAAGAATTGTATAAACATAAACCCGAAAAGAAACCCAAAAATGAAGAACTCAAGATCCAAAAACCCATGAACCCAACACCCACAACCTAGAAGCCCACCCAAAACACAGAATCCTACCAAAAAAACTCAAGAGCCCAACACCCACAACCCAAAAACTCAAAACCAAGAACCCACCTAAGAACCCAATACCCACAACCCAATAACCTGATTCTCTGATGACCTCGCGGAATAGCTCGTCCAATGCCTCCAACAGCAGAAAATGAGGATCATTATAACAATTTTCAGAAACCAAATTGAGATAATAATTTTATGTACATTAACTCAAAAGGAACCCCAAAAACGAAGAACCCAAGAACCCAACCCAAAAAACTCAAGAACCCAATACCCACAACCCAAAAACTCAAAATCCAAAAACCCAAAAACCCAGAAATACAGAAATACAACAACCGATATTAACCACTAAAAATCGAAGAACGAAAACAAACCCAAAACACAGAAACCCACAAACCCACCAATACTCCCAAGAACCCACTCATCTCTCTCTCTCTCTCTCTACTTGCTTTGATCTTACCGTGCTCTTCTCTATTTCTCTCCACTATCTTTAATCTTCTTACCACATTTTTCTATCTAAGACATTCCTTTACAAGAAAAAGGAGATGTCTTAATGAAACATATACACTTCACATAATTGGAATAATTTGCTGCTCAAGTCAGTTAAACCTACGTGGTGATTAGACACAAAGTAGACTACAACATTTTGTTTAAAATATACACCACACCACACAACCCTACACCACCACCTTCCGCTTCCTGACCATCCCCATCAACCAGTTGGTTGTGCATCCAAAGGCATTCATAGGTACTACCATCGAAGATATTGGCAAGGATAGGCAAGTCCTTTGGGAGGATCTCTTTCAACTCCAACAATTCCTGATCCTCCACTGGTCTCCAAGCCTGAAAGCCCACGAAACCTCGAAAGAGAATCCAACCAAAGTTGAGAGGGAAGGGGGATGGTACAAGGCCTCCTCCCCCTTAAAGAGATGAAGCGACATTGAAGGTTGGGTGAGCAATTTCTCTAGAGTTGGGTGAATCGGCATTGAGGTGAGAGTTAGGAGAGATTGTTCAACATGCCACAACTTAATCAAAATAAAAAAGCAGCTTATACGCACCTCACGAGAGCCTCTGCATTTGTCTTAGGAGGAAGAGGCTCTATTTTTCTAGTATCGAAATCTAATCAAAGTGTGCTTAACAGAGATATTGTACCTGCCTTAATTATAGTCTCATTTGCTCAAATCATAATGTGTTACTCAAGACAAATATAGGAATATTATCCAGCCTAATTACATAATTAGACTAAATTGAGAATTTTATATTGAGGGCTTTATTTATGGCCCTTAGATGATGCCCTACCTCTTAACCGTTGAACCAAATTAGTTAGCCGTTTGATCAAATTAGTTAGTTACATCCAACGGTTAGGAGATATAACCTCATGTAAGGGTCTTAGATAAGGCCCTCCCTATAGAATGACTCTAGACTACATTGTATAAATCTATCTCTCATTTCTCACTCATCCCAAACACTATCGTAGGAGAAAATCAAACACAAAACTTTGAATGCATGAATAAATATTTTTAATTAATTTGAGCTAAAATCTCTTTAGATTTAATTTATATCGGTTACGTGTGCTAGCTCTACATGTCCAATAGAAATTCATTAATTAATGGTACACTAGTGCTTTGAAATCTGCTTACAACATGCGTTACGTTATGTTCCACAAAATATGTACCTTGGTCTTAAAAGAAAAAAGAAAAGAAAAATAAATATATAAATAAAAGTCTTTGTTCTGTACGTATGTGTTTATTCTTCTCTATTGGATTGCACACACAGACTGTGGTTGGTCGGTGCATTGTGGAAGTGGTATATACACGTACTCAATTACCAATTGAGACTCTCTTACAAATTTGGTCAACTTAATGATCCAATACAAATGCAATACCAATTGTGTTCAGATGTGGGCTATGACTATATTCCCACTTTAGGATTTAGCCTTCCCCACAAACCTCGAGGTTTCATCTTATTAGAATATAGGACCTTAATTTAGGTGGTCCACGGGGGCCCTCCTTACACGTGTCAATAATCCTGATGACAATCCACCATGGTTTGTGACACCAACCCACTCAACGTTTTTGCTACTTAAGGGTCTATGCCAATGCTTTCATTCATTCTATGTCTAAATCCATCTTCATCTTTCTCGATGTCATTCCTCACTTTCAAACACTACTTGGTAGTAGTTTGTAGGCTTCTCTAAACATTACCCATTGCTTCCATTCCATCCAGCAAAATTGCAATTCTTTACAACATTGAGATTGTTTTTGTTATACATAACTATGGTACTAATTTCAGGTTAGAATCACATGATATGCATATTTGCCCATTTTTTGTGGTTAATTTTATAATTTCCATGCATCTTTCTCATTCTTAGTGTTAGTGCATGTGGTCGTCTTTCTCCAACTTCTATGAAGATATGAGATTTTACTGAGTTATGCTTTCATTTAATTGTAAGTCGTCGATGTGTGTGAGTTTCGTCATATATGCTTAACATTGTGATGTATTCGTCAATGCATTGGTCCTCCTTGACATTCATCTTGCATTTTTAAAAGTAATTAAATGTGAAATAGATAACAATTGTACATCTACAAGTCAATCATAAAATCTATATGTAAATTCGAACCATCCCACAATTTGTTGACAATTCATTGTGGGGGGTTGCATTGCGTAGTCCTGCATACGTACACAAATATGATGCTACAAGTGCTTGACACAAATGACACAACAAGTTGTCCACCGACCCAAGTCAATTTTCTTTTCAACCTAATAATGTTGGCAAAAAATTTCAATTCCATTCATAATGAGAAGGGTGAAAGTTCCTTCCTTTGGAATCACAACAGCAGATATCTAAAGTCATATATTATTTTTGTGCTGAATAAGTTCCCACCATCTTTTTATTCCAAGATTTGTTTAAATAATAATTTTTTACTCCCCCCATTAAGTATAACTTCTCTTCAAACCTTAGCTCTATCCTGTTTTTGGTGATTCGATCAAAACATTTATTCCCATCTTCCTTATCAAAGTGGACATGGATATATTCTTCAAACTTTATTTATTTATTTAAATTACTTGGGCTTTTCACTTGGAAATTGCCTAGCAGTTCAGCCGTAGAACTGATATTATATATAGAGTCTTTGGTCATCGTCAAGGTCATGACTTGAAAGTTCATGTGCAATTACTTCACAACTCACAAGTATTTAAGTTGTCTTCAACAAGTAGAGACAAAAAATTGGTTCAGTTGAGCCCCTTATAAAAGCCTCTTCTTACATGTACCATTTGCCCACTGAAATTTCGTCAACTCTTACCTAGCCTCTTTTCAAGCTTTTTTTTTTTTTATAGTTAATTAATTTCTCCAAACCCATTATTTTGGATTTTGAATTGTTCCCTCCGGCTACCACACGCTATTCGTTGCCTCAGTCTTTGTTAAAACACAGGTTTAATCTCGTGATTATTTTGCTTAATTACATCATCAGCCACAACCATATAAGTGTTTTTATTTTTATTTTTACTGTTATTTAATTTGTTGTTATATATATGTTTCCAATTTTCCTCTTGTAGATAAAGGCAACTGCACATATGAATATTAGAGCAATGGTGCAACGGACCCAGGAGGTGTTTATACTTGTGTATCTGACCTTATTCTCCAAGGCAACTGGTTTGAAGCCTTACCCTAAGCCAAGCCTGCCACAAGTTGAGGGTGCTGCGTTTTGTTTGAGTTGGAGACTGGCTGTGGAGACCGACAATGTGCGTGCATGGCGCACAGTGCCAACTCAGTGCCTGCGCTACATTGAAACCTACATGATCGGAGGGCAGTACGACCGGGACGTCGATTTCCTCATTGGCCAGATTCTGAGTTATGTAAATGGCATAGCTCTTTCCGGTGATGGCATGGACGCTTGGATTTTGGACGTGGATGACACTTGCATCTCCAATGTCTTCTACTACAAGAGCAAGAGATACGGGTAATATAACTTGGATAATATTCTCTTGTCATACTTATGTTGCAAGATTGATACTTATATCATCTGTGAATTTAAACTATGCGTTTAAATAAGAATCATCTTATATTTACTTAATTGATTTTGGGCACTTGGTGATATATATGTAGGTGTGATCCCTATGACCCATCTGGGTTCAAGGCATGGGCAATGACTGGAGGGTGTCCGGCAATTCCTGGTATGCTAGGACTGTTTAGCAAGCTGGTGAGTAGTGGTTTTAAGGTGTTCATGGTCACAGGAAGAGATGAAGAAACCCTTGGACAAGTCACTACTGAAAACCTGCATAATCAGGGATTTGTGGGTTATGAACGGCTGATTTTGAGGTAAGAATTAACATGTGTGTATGATGGTTGATGCATGCATAGATGCATGTATGCGTCTTCTCATTGGCCAATATTGAATTTGGTTTAATGATTATGCCAAATTTAGTCTAATGATTGGAATTATCCGAGTCAATCACCATGCAAGAAAAGTATTCTACTTTTTGAGGTGGAAAACCCACCAATTAATCTTGGCCTATTGAAATCCCCATTGCTTATATTAAGTTATCCAACACGTGTGAACGACTATTTATCTAGTAGTATTTCTATTTTCTACTTGGTTAGAGGATATCTCAAATTCAAATCTTATGGGCGACAACTAGTTATCAAAGAAAAATTCTTATGAATGTCAACACCTACCAATCTTGACTTGGTTTAATTTTCTTATCAAGAAGATAAAAAAATCGTGATTATATATTATTGTGCATGGACCTAATTTAGTTAGGTGTGTGTGGGGGTTTTCAGGACTGCAGCTTACAAAGGGCAAGGTGCAGTTGCGTACAAATCAAACATTCGGAAGCAATTGGCAGAAGAAGGTTACAAGATTTGGGGAAATGTAGGAGACCAGTGGAGTGATCTACAGGGAGATTTTGTGGGGAACCGCACCTTTAAGCTTCCAAACCCCATGTATTTTGTTCCTTGATTTACAAAACATCCAAATTATCAGAACTGTATCATAAATATTTGCATGCCTTATTTGGAGTTAATCGGTGGAGGCCTTGTTACTTTTACATGTTCAATAATCACAAATAAAATCATTGTTGAGTTGAGAGATTCCAAATCCCATGCATTTTGTTCCTTAATCACACTCTCAAAATTATTTATGATAAAAAAAACAACAAAGTATTGGTGTAAAAAATAGGTCAAGTTTCTGGGAAGGTGCAGGAGCTCACCTTTTTGGACTTTCCTTGTTTCCTAATTTTGGAAAATTCCCACTCCGTCATGAGGAGAAATTTTGGACTTTCCTTGTTCAACTCACCTGGCAGAGGTCATGAGTGTGTCTGATTTCATGAAGAGTTTAGACGTCAAAGTGCGAACTTGAACGCTGGGAACCATGACCTCTCCCGGGTGAGTTGTTCCTTATCCCTTCAATTTCTCCTATGAATAGGTTTTGCGGAGGGAAACTTGCCCCTTTTTTCTTTTCTGGAATTTCACCAATTCACAAGGTGCGAAATCAGGCACCGAATAGAGGGAAAGGGGCGGAGTGGATTTATTAAGGTGGAGAGACGAAACTACCCTATTGACAATTTGACGGACTATTGGATGACAAAAAGTTGATTTAGAAGATAGGAGGGAATTGGCGATAAAAATTAGTTCGTGTTCTTAATTTTTCAAAAAAAAAGTTGAGGGTGCAAATTGAAAATAGCGTACAAGTTCAGGAGGTAAATCGCCAGTTAACTTTTGAAAATAATAATAATTTATTCGTCAAAAACATTTAATATTATTTTTTTATTATAAAAAAACATTGGTTATAACTTAGAACTTAGAGAAGATTCAGGAAATGAGGAACTTTGGAAGCATTCAACGTACAAGAAGTTCGGACGAAATTTCGCACTAAAACAACAGACGCACATAGGTCATGTGTCTCATTCAAATCCTTGTTCAAAGAGTATTATTGTGTTCTTTTGGTTTTCAACTTTTTTTTTTCTTTGAGTCTAAGAACACACTTTAGGCACATATTCAATCTCTAATTTATCAGAGAAACAGAACAAATATTCTTGACAAGATGAACGATGCAGATGTCTCGAAGCAGATTCAGCAGATGGTCAGATTCATCCGCCAAGAAGCCGAAGAGAAAGCCAATGAGATATCTGTCTCTGCTGAGGAGGTCCTCCTCCTCCCTCCCCACCAATTTTAATTTGCATGCATCATGCATGGCAAGCAATTCGAACATTGGAATTGCTTTAACCTTTTATATTAATTAATCATGGGTTTTTTTTTGGTATTGATTTTATATGTTGACAGGAATTTAACATTGAGAAGCTGCAAATATTTGAAGCTGACAAGAAAAAGATCAAGCAAGAGTATGACCGCAAGGCTAAGCAGGTAGATGTGCGCAAGAAAATGTGAGTTCTACTAGAATTTAGATCCTTCTCCTCACAAAGAAAATTAATCTGAAAATTAATGACTAATTGAGGATTTAATTTTGGGTGTGCATAGCGAATACTCGATGCAGCTGAATGCATCTCGTATTAAAGTTCTTCAAGCACAGGATGACATTGTAAACTCCATGAAAGAAGCTGCTGGCAACGATCTTCTGCGTGTTTCGGATGACAAGAAGGCATACAAGAAGCTCATCAAAGACTTGATTGTTCAGGTACTTTATAGTTTATATTTAACCATCATACATGCATGTTTTAATCAATTAATTTAATGTATTTGACAAAAGTAGTGTTGAATTATTCGTATGTGTAGAGTTTGATGAGGCTGAAGGAGCCAGCAGTGTTGCTACGGTGCAGAGAGGTTGACAAGAAAGTTGTTGAGTCTGTGTTGGAGGAAGCAAAGAAAGCTTATGCTGATAAAGCCAGTGCTTCCGTCCCCAAAGTCACCATCGATGATCGTGTGTTCCTCCCACCTCCTCCGAAAGGTGGCAACTCTCATGAGCCCTTTTGGTAAATCTTTTCTGTTCATCAACACTGTTTTCTTCTTACATCAATCTGTGCACAGCACATACATATATGTGCATTGTGTAACTTATAGGACATTTTTATAGGACATTTTGGTCAGTGTGCCTTAAGCTGCTTGTCACCAGTTTCATTTGTTTTTTGTTGGTTTGATTGTTTGAAAGTTCTGGTGGAGTGGTGGTGGCCTCCCAAGATGGAAAGATAGTGTGTGAAAACACCCTAGACGCACGATTGGATGTTGTGTTCAGACAGAAGCTGCCCGAGGTGGGTATTCATGGATCAACTCCATTTGGACATTCATTCAGCAACACAGAATTGAAAAGAAAAAAGAAACTATGAGCACAAAACTTTACTATGCATGATTAGTTCAGCGGTTTTCTTCTTTGTTTCTTCTCTGCAGATTCGGAAGCGCCTTTTAGGACAAACCAGTTCATCATGAATTCTCTCTACTTGTAGCTGGAGAAGTACTAAAGTAGGGGCATTGACTGAGTTTCTTGGACAGTCTAATACTTGTTCTTATTTGGTTTGGCAGTTTACTTCTGTGATTATGAACTTTGCTTCCAAAACAATAACAGCATAGTTTTAGCTGCCTCAGAAATTATGTTATGAGGGGCAAGCTAATTCATAATATGTCGCATTATTGTGCTAATTTTGCATATAAATTGAAAACTATAAACTCCTAATCAAGTGTTAGAAAAGACTAGCATATATTGAGAGAAAGAAAAGAAGGTAATTCCTAATTGATATGTCAAAGATCAATAAACTACTTGTACAACATTTAGACCACATGAGGTGGGATACATCTAGCCCTACTCTTTGTAAATGTGGTACAAACTACAGGCTCCCTTAGAATTGAGACATTGTGTAGCTCAACCACCCTTGGGTCACCTAGACTTTATGTTCATAAGGATAGTGTCATGGCCCCCATTATAGGTGCCAGTGCCACAATGATGATGAACATGAACTCCTAAACCTTCTATGCTACCTAGGAAACAGAATATCTCCTACTCCTACCGGGTTTCCCCTCGGAGCCCCGGGACTTCCTACCCGATTTCTTTGGTTTACCTCCTGCTTGGCCACTAAAAATTCCAATCCTTCCAATCCCTTTAGAGAGTGAGGTCAAGAAAGTTTTTCCATTTCCTGTTTTATCAATCATTCCTTGTTTCATAAACAGCTGCTCTTTCTCCAACTCACTCAGCCTCACTCTCATTCTTGAAATCTCCAGTTTCAGCTCTCGGTTTTCTCTCCTTAGTGAAGCATAATTATCTCGAGGGGACATGGCTGCACTTGGTACACCGCTGCTTATTCTCTGCGAGAGCAGCCCATCTCCTGAGCTTCCGGACAATGCATTTTTCAGACGGAGCTGCTCAAAATACAGAACTCGCACTGTCATCTGTACTGGAAGTCGATCATTTTGTGCAGCGTGATTGCAGGCTTCTTGAGAGAGCTTTTGGCAGTCTATGAACTTGCAGAGCTTCTTGCATTCTTGTTCAGTTAGCATTGAATGAACCTAAACAAGAAGCAAAGAAATAGAGTCAATCAACTATAAAAGGGACTCGCTCTAAATCCTTTGTAAAACATGATGGATCAGCTCTTGCATTTCATTTATACCAACTGGCAATGCTGAGGCTAATATAATAAAAGTTCATAACTTACCTTCAAATATATGTCAACCGCCCTGTAAAGCCCGTCATCGATGACACGAGCATAGTCAGGCAGTATTTCAATCATAGCAATGAATTTTTGTAAGCTCAGGTATGGATCAGGAGCAATTTCAGCTAGATATGTGTCAATAAGCCTACCAACTTTCAACAATGAATCATGACTTGGAGAACCGAGGCCTTCAGACTCATATCCACAATCTTCACTTTCTTCTTCTTCAATTCGCTGCAGAAAATTCACCAGTATTCGATGAACGGTATCAACATCATATAATGATCCCCCTGCTTGGATTGATGGTATAAGGAGATCATCGAGTGAAACCATTTCCAGCCTAAAAGCAATCCTCCTTTCAAGCTCAAGCCTGCAGGCTATTGTAGCATCTACCATGATTGCCATTCTCAGCATTCCAAACATAAAACTCAGTGGCACCGAACAACTTTTCTCTGTTGGCATTAAGCTTACAAGGGCTTCCACAACAGTCTTCTGGTCGTGTTCTGCCATGCCAGTATTTGACTTCAACTTTCCTGGATTCCAAGTTTGACATTTCGCAATACCCTTTAAGGATGCCTGAGCAAAATGCATCAACGATGCAAAAATGCTATCGGGTCGAACACCTAGTCTTGTCATGGCACATATAACCCTTTGATAATAATCGATCCTTAGGAGTGATAGATCTTCAACCCACCACTCAAGACAACCACTTTTAAGCTCTGTGGACTCACCATCACAATTCAACATAGACAACCCTGATACTAGTTGCTCCTTGCAAGCATTCATGGCAATAGCCTCCACACATCTGCTTGGAATCCCAACCTCCTCTGCAATAGAAGGTAGTGTCGCGCAGGTGGAAAGGACTTCCACTGACTTTTCAAGACTCTGAACTACAACCTCATCCAGATAAGTCTCCGTTCGCGCAATAAGGTTTTCATCCCTGTAGTCTTCAGTCATTTCCAAGTATTCTGCAGCACAGCGCAGATGGGCAACATTTGCAGTTGTGATCTCAAAGTTGATGCCGTAACAGAATTTCATTGCAAGTTCAAATGCCAGGGGGCCTCCTGGTATGTTGAGTAACTCCAGTTTTGCAGTTGAATCCTTGGCATCTGCAACCATTTTCCGAATCTTTCCACTCCGAGACACCAGTGGAAACTTCAGAAAAATAGAACAATGTGATCAGCAAAATAGAAAAATGCAAGGCTACAATGCTTATAGCATAAGATGTCAAAGCTGCGTGTAGAAAACAAACATTTTTCATCTTGGATATAGAGGAAATTACCTTATGTAGCAAAAAGGACTCTCCATCGACAACAATTGTAATGTCCCCGGCAACATCTGAAAAGATACTACATACACATAAAACCTCTAATATCAGTAATGAGTAACCAGCATGGTTGAAACATCACATAAATTATCCGAGAATATGACTAGCAAATAAGGGAAAATTTTGTCAATTGAAAACATCCAATCCAAATTGCAGGAGGAACAAGCAATCCACAAGTTGGGCAAAAATCCAAGTTTTCATGCAGAAACTATAGCACAGCTTCAAGACCTCTTGTTCTAACAGCGCACTCTTTGACTAAGAATAAACACTATGGTTTGAAAAATCCAGTGGAAGCAGATACCAGGCCTAGCTAAAGTCATAATCCGACCGTGGCTAAAGACACTCAGCCTCAAGTAACAATGTGATGGAGTAAAGGGTAGATCCTAGATTCAACTCTTCTTCTAAACAAAAGAAAAAAACGTTTGGAGAAACGATTTATTGAAAAAGGGGATCAATTTTAAAATGTTGCATCTTTTGTATATTCTGTTAACTAATTCATTTAAAATTGTTCTGTTCTGTCTAATATGGTAATGAATTGACTAAATCTGTGAGCCCCCACTTTCAAGAATCAAAAAAAGAAGTTGAAACATGCCAAAGACAGAACTATCAAGTACAAAAGGGGGCACTGGATCTATATATATATATATACGTACACATTATATAGAACACCAGACAAATGATTAAAACATCTAGAAATCAAAATAAGCAAGCGCATAGCAGGAGCTGGCAGAACCAAAAGAAAGAAACAAAAAGACTGAACAAAACTGAAGTTGAAAGCTTGAGAAGATGATGAGCTAAATACATGCAAATGCACAAGACAGAGGGAAGAAGAAGAGTTAAGGGTACCGAGTGGTGAAGGAGCTGCAGAGCTTGGGAGTTGGAGAGCGGCTTGAAAAAGAGAAAGGGTTCTCAGAAACCATCCCCATTCATTCGAATTCACACTCTAAAATGACCAGCAGCTGAATCTCAAACAGTGTTCTTGTGGATCATCATAATCATCACAATGACTCAGAGAATAATATGATCTTTTTCCTTCTTCTTTTTTGCCCTTTACGTAAATAACCTGTTGGTTTTGAGCAATTCACAATTGGAACCTTGCCTTCTTTTTATGGGGACAGAGACAGGCTCGCTGGTTACCTTTTGCTTTTGCTTCTCCATCATTCCTTTGTCTTGTATTGCGTTCTTCTTTGGTTCTTTTTTTATTTTATCTTTGAAGATAAACAGAAAAAGAAATGCTTTGTCTGATTTTGAGACTAAATCTGCAGTGTCAGACAGACTCACTCACGCCATTCTGGCAAAGAAAGAATAATATGAAACATGAATTAGGAAGAGAAAAAAAACACAAAAACATGAACTCTTTGAATTTTGAAGTTGGGGAGTGCGGACGTAACGCATTGCAAAACTTCGCGTCCGTTATCTATAGATTGTTGCATGGTTTTATTATTCATTGAAACGTGTATCGAATAACATTGAATTTTTAAGATAAACTACATGAAAGTAAATTTGTTCACACTCTTTATTTTTTCTTACACCACGTCAGAATCCCGTTGATTTTATGAAATGTCTTTTTCTTCTTTTCTTTTCTTTCTTTTTCTTATATTTATTATAAAATTACTTTATGAAATGTCTTTGTTAAATTAGAAAAGTAATAAAATTAGACACAGAAAAAATTCATGCTTAAAAAGGGTGATAATGTACTGGGCATGGACCGATGGGACACAAGTGACGCGGAACTCAATAAAGATGATATAATTGGAGAGAGAGAGAGAGAGAGGAGAGATGTTGCAAGTACATGCTCCATCCTCTTTTACTTCCAAATCAATTATTTGTTTATTGTCAATGAAAGACTCAAATTATAAACCAAGGTGGTTGGTGTGAGTGGTTCGGCACTCTCATTCTTTAAAAGTGGTTCGATCCCTGCTCTCATATGAAATCATCACTTTGGCCAGCACTTTATCCTTTATGGCCCGACCCGGTATGAGCAGGGATTAGTCTGTGGATTGTGGTTAAGGCTTAAAGGTGCCACCCATAGTTGGAACCCATCTAGGATCACCTCGTGATTTAGAAAAAAAAAGACTCAAATTATAATACTTCAAAGCATATTCTTTTCTTTGCTCTGGTCTCTGTTGACCGCATTATAAAGACCAAAGGTAACATGGTCTATTGACTATTGACCAAAAAAAGGCAGCATGATCTCCTTTTAATTTGATCAAGGTCCAATATGGCAGATCCATTACCCAATATGGCTTACAGGCCCAATGCCTGGTTAGGCAATTCGAGCCGGATACAATTTACAAACCCAATAAAAGCCCTATTCCTAATGCTGTTTTTATTTTTATTTTGGCTTAACTCTTGATTTGCCCTATGAATTTATACCTAATTTTTGATTTAACCCTTATCCTTTTTTTTAGAAAATTAAATATATAAACTTCTTTTTTTCCCTAATTTCCCCCATGCCGTCTAAATCCTCAACATTTCATCCAATTTTCTGTTAAATCATATCCATTTTCCCACCCCCCACCCCACAAAACCCACCCCACAACCCACCCCTTGCAGAGAGAGAGAGAGAGAGAGAGAGAGAGAGATATATATATATATAATGGCAAATTAGATGAAATGTTGCAGATTTAGACGTCAGGGGGCAAATTGGCAACAACAAAAAATTTCATTTAATTAATTTTCTATATTTAAAAATCATAAAAAAAAGAGGATAGTGGGTAAATCAAAAGTTAGGTACAAGTTCAGGAGGCAAATCAAGAGTTATTATAATTGTGATATTCTTAACTACCCTAATGTATGAAGGGATTTCGAACATGGGTGCAAGGCAAAGGGGAGGCCATATTACTTCAACTGGCTGGCCTAAACCACTGCCCCCATCCCTAGTACTTATTTAAAGGAAAAGAACAAGAAAATAATGATAGAAAGAAATTAAAGGAAGAAAAGAAAAGGCCATAATTTGACAATTTTGTATTTCTAGCGCATAAAATGGCATTTATGTGATATAGCGGGGGAGGCAGGGCATTAAGGGAAGATAAAAAGTTGTGTGCGCCATAGCCGATCGATATATCAGGTCAGAAATTTTGATAGCAAAGCAAGTAGCTTTGCCCTGTATAGTTTTCTAAAGGGCAATATCCAAGCCAACAGAGTCACAGTCACTCACATCACACAAGCCATAGCTTCAGCTCCACAGCAAAAACAACAAGGAAGATGCGTACGCTCACTCCCGTCGCTTCCTATCCTCTGTAAGTTCTTCTTATCCATCAGTCTTTATGTTTTCATTTCAACCCATTTCAGTTCATCAAACTATCTGTTGGGACATTTGGTAGTTTTCAACTTATAGGTTGATTTCAGTATCAAGCTACCACATTCTAATGAGAATTCTTAGTTTGAAAAGCGTTTAATTACAAAAAGAATGCGTTTTGGAATATGTTTAGAGTAACCATTTGGTTCTAGTTACTTGATGATGGTGGATTGAAGAAAATAATGTCCTTTTTCGTTTAAATTCGTGGCAGATGCCCAATTGTTTCATTTGAATTGTGTCGTCAAGCATCAAACAAGTTATTCTTTCCTTGCAATATAAGCGAGAAGCTTGCTAAAGGTATGCACACTTGCCCATTGTCTGCATAGTGAGTGTTGAAGTTTAGTAATCCCTCATTATTAGGTGAACTATGGATTGAAAAGTTTTACCCTTTTGCTGTATTTTTTGCAGCAAGCAGGGTGCATAAGACATATCAAATCAAGGCTGGATTTTGGGAATCCATTAAATCTGGGTAATTGGAGATACTCATTTTCACTGATCATACACTTACAAAATGACAGACATGCACACAAATCACACACTGAATGTGGAAGAATTTCTGTTGGGTATGTTAAATTGGAACGTTGCATTTGTTATGTTGCTGCAAAGAAGGATGCCTTGCTGAAGCGAGAAACACAATTTGAGTTTTAAAGAACTTATAGTTACATAGTGCTTTAATGTTAAATTGATCAAATATGAAGCCATTGATTGGTTTGAGCACTTCATCAGTGAACTTGCTTAGAAAGAATGTTACTTTATGGATTAATGACACTTTTAAATGGCAATGTGCTTGTACCACTATGTCGTTTTTAAATTAATACTAATTGAAGTCTAGAAGAGCAAGAAATTAGATTTTATCACACATACAGACAAAAAAGTATGGTCCTTAACTCACTTCTTATTGCAGTATTTTAAACAACAACACAACACAAGTAGTAGAACCCCCCTCCATGCTTCCAGAGGAGGAAGAAGAACCTTTGCCTCAAGAATTTGTTCTCATTGAAAAGACTGAACCAGATGGAACAGTTGAAGAAATTTTATTTTCTTCTGGTGGAGATATTGATGTGTATGATCTTCAGGCCCTTTGTGATAAGGTAAATATACTGCCATTGCTACTCTTTTGCACATGCATCGAAAAGTTAATGCCTTTTGAATTCGCAATTGTGTCTAAGTAACTCTTCATAGGTCAGGAGTCCACTTATTGCGGATGTATCTTACCTGATTGACCTTTCAGTAAAGTTTGATATGTTATTCTTTTTCTGTATATGAAGTAGTGAATTTTGATAATGTTATCTTATACCCACTGGCTAAAGTTAAATAACTTTAATGTAAATTTAATAGGTAGGCTGGCCTCGGAGGCCACTGTCGAAACTAGCTGCAGCTTTGAAAAATAGCTACATGGTAGCCACGTTGCATTCAGTTCGGAAATCACCTGGATCAGGTACATAGTGGATACGGCATTGTTGCAGTATCCTTCTTTTTCACACAACTGGTATTACAATCTAATAACCATGCTTGTTACTACATCTAAAACTACTTGATGAACACTTAGTGTACTTGGAGAAGTTATTTCACAGAGGGGAATGACCAAAAGAAGTTAATTGGCATGGCTCGAGCTACATCAGATCATGCCTTCAATGCTACAATTTGGGATGTCCTTGTTGATCCTGGTTATCAGGTATGATGGTGCTTGAGGGTTGTTTGTTGGACCTACACACTAATTACATGAGATGTTTTCTTGATTGTTTCTAATGATATCTTTATCATTCAGGGCCAAGGCCTCGGAAAGGCCCTTGTTGAAAAGCTTATAAGGGCTCTTCTGCAGAGGGACATTGGAAATATTTCACTGTTTGCAGATAGTCAAGGTAAAACAGCAGTTATTTATAGCATTTAGTCTATGTGCATCTGCACATGCATGCATATGGGTTTGGTAGTCTATTTCTTAAGTAATTATCAGCGTGGCAACATAAATATTTTGCCACCAACCCTACTCTAGATCGGTGTTCCTTCCTAAGACAAGTCCGGCTTTGGGTGTTGCCTGCTTTAGCATGTTCAACTTGTATTAAAAAAATGTATACTCATTGTCATACTCTGTTTACTTTATCATTGCAGTTGTGGAGTTCTATCAAAATTTGGGTTTTGAACCTGACCCAGAGGGCATTAAAGGGATGTTTTGGTACCCAAAGTATTAGTCATCACTTAGAAAAAGTTCAAGTATGTATGTGCTTTTATCATTGGTTTAGCGCTGCAATTTGTGTACATGACATGCGAACACTTACATTCTTGAGAGACCTGTTACAGGGAAAGTATGTCTGGAAGTGTAGGGTTTACTTTCAAGCACAGTCTGTCTGGAAGTATAGTTGCTTCAGAATTCTAAAGTTGAAAGTAAATAAGGTGTGATTGGTTTGCTCTTTTAAACTAAGGTAATTGGATGCCTGGATGGCCAGTTTCAGAATGTCAAGTCAGTTTCTGAAGAAATTCAATATTTATGATTGCATTTTCACAAAATTATAGAAACAGGTGCAAGGAAAGTAGGTGATGCAGATGTGCTCTAAGAGAGATGTCAGATTTAAACTTCAAATTTCTAGTAATAGGTCATATTCCAAATGTGGTCCAAGAGCTATCTATAAATATAATGCACGGTTCAGATGGTTGTCATGTATTAATGCACAATTTGGAGTCTTCATATCCACATGACTGACATTACAATACCAATTTTGTGATCCTTGAGGAAAAGACAATGCCAGTTTTCAAGATATTTTTGGAGGCCGGCTGCCTCTCTGTGATTTAGTGAGTCCTTGTCAAGGAGAGATGTATTTCATTAATAAATTCTACAAAATGTCAAAATTAGATTTGGAGACGCCACTGACTGGAACTTTGTGGTAACTTGTAAGCAATAATTTGCAAGTCTCTAGGGCAATTGGGTCTAATATTAAACTGGAAATACTAATAGGATGAATATTATAATGGAATTTGAAGTCGACAATTTAAACCCTCCAATAAAAGCAGCAAATTTGTACTTGCATTCGTACTTTGGCACGTCTGGCCAATGAACTCGAATCTTTTCGCTGATATAAATTTTTTATGGATTAAAAACCTTTGTGAAATAAAGATTTAGTAGCTACAGTTGATATTAGAAATCCAGTTAAATAGAAGTTCTAAACAAGGTAATCTCAGACACGAGTACGTTATCAACTTAACTCAACCCAAAACCAATATGGTTTTCAATGTTTATGACCACTAACCAAGTATGTTCACTTACTTAATTTATGATTGATTGCTTATGAAAATGCTAAAAGCTTACTTGACAAAAATACTTTATACAGTCACTAGCATAAAAACTTTCTCGTAACAGGAATATAGTATACTATTTCCGATCAATGATATAATGATAGATGAAAAAATTGTCCCACATATCATTATGCTATTCGTGGGGATAACTAGCATGCATGAAATTCTCTCTCCAAAACAAAAGCACTGAAGCAAGATTTGTTGGATTTGTGGTCCACCAGTACAGCACTAAAAGAGAGGTTCGTGGAAATCCGCGCAAAGGATTTTTTTAGTGGACTTTAGGTAACAGGTGCAGAAAAGTCAACGTCTCTCGAAGTGAAAAATGTCATTGCCTTCGCACTCACTCACTTTCTCAAGGCGAGAAAAAATTTGGAGGCAGATGCAAAGAAGACGCCATATGTCATTATTCTCCTCTTATCTCTTTCCACTTAAATTAAAAAAACATTAAACAAAAGAAAACGAAGACCAACCTTACTCAAGAAACTATGACGATCTAATTGATGTTACAACTTATGCTGATGCTCATGATGACGAAAATGATGTATCTCTGGCCTTCTTTCTCTGCGGACAGACTTCACCATTCTTAGCCTTCCCATTGACTCGGCCTTGATGTTTGTGTTTGGAACTCTGTGTGCTTCCTGAGCAGTATCTTTCTCTCACAACAAAGTCTCAAAGTCCACCACTTATGGTGTCAAGTATGATTTTTCTTTTGAAAATTGAGAGAGAACTTTCCAACTGTTTCCTTATATCTTTCTTTTGTGTTTTGTTGCATGTTCTAGTTTTACTTCTTATGACAAAGAAAATCAAAATTTTGAATTTAGTGTTTGCAAGTTTTATAGAAATTACTCATTGGGTCGTTTCCATAGGGTGTTAGAATGCTGAGAATGAGAGTCTGTGGATGTGTCATTGCTCTGTTGTGTTCTTGCTTCGTCATCCTTGCGGTTGCACAGGTTACACATCCTTCTGAAGGTGAGTTTGCTGCACATATGCTATATTTCTTACTTGTTATATCCAGCTTTAATTGAATGCAATTCAATCATTTCTATATGATTCTTATATGATTCAATTGAAAAGTATGAATTATGTTATGTGCCTTTTTGCAGTCAATGCATTGAGAGCAGTTAAGAGCAGTTTAAGCGATCCTCGGAAGCATCTCAAGAACTGGAACAATGGGGATCCTTGTAAATCTCATTGGACTGGAGTTTTTTGTTTGAATACTGTTGGGGCTGATGGGTACTTGCACCTTGAGGAACTGTATGCATTCTTTTTTCATACTGCTCTTACCTTTTCCATTCCAGATTACATTACCCGCACAGTAAATGATAATGTTTTTTTCTTAATTATGATTGTGCAGCCAACTGCTGAACATGAATCTCTCAGGAAGTTTAGCACCTGAGCTTGGCCAACTATCTCACCTTCTAATATTGTGAGTCTGGCGTCTCAAAAATTGATCTGTGATTCCACTTTTCTGGAGGTTTTTTTTCCTGATTATCCTTTTAGTTGTTTTCTAATGTTTTGTATTTCGCTTTCATCTCTTCCGGAAGAGATTTCATGTGGAATGAATTAAGTGGCACTATACCAAAGGAGATAGGAAACATGACATCCTTGAAACTCTTGTAAGTTGAGTTCAACCAATCTATAGTTCTGGGTACACTTGTTTTTGGAATATCAACATAATTTTCTGTTTTACAGTACACAATTTTCTTAATTTTTTTTGTGATGCATTTGTATGCAGGCTCTTAAGTGGAAACAAATTATCCGGTTCTTTACCTGATGAGCTCGGTTACCTTTCAAAATTAAATAGGCTACAAGTTGACCAAAACTATATGTCAGGTCCAATACCAAAATCATTTGTTAACTTGGTCAATGTGAAACATCTGTAAGTACATGTTCAAGCTAAATGCTACTTGAAATTGGCTAGCATTTTATATTTCTCATGTTTGACAGCTGCATGTACATTAATTGCTTTGCAGCCACATGAACAACAACTCCTTCAGTGGTCAAATTCCGTCTGAGCTTTCTAAAGTACCCACTCTTCTTCATTTGTGAGTTCTTAAAGCGTTATTTCCTTGTGTTTTTGGGAAATTGTTCTGTATTGATACTTGTTGACTGATTCCTGATGGTGTATACTTGACGCAAACTTTTACAGGCTTTTTGATAATAATAACTTATCTGGATATCTTCCACCAGAATTATCCAACTTACCAAACTTGCGAATACTGTACGTCCTAATTCAACAATGTCTGGATTTTTAGTTTGGAGTAACTTGTTTCCTTTTGTGTGATCTCAGTAGGTAATCTGTTTTTTCTTGACGAGATTTTCTTCTTGGTTGATGGAAATTATTGTTTTCTCTTCCATTTGCAGTCAATTTGATAACAACAACTTCAGGGGGACTGAGATTCCAGCTTCTTATGGAAACTTTTCCCAATTAGCAAAAATGTAAGTTTTAGTATTCGTATCTTTCTCTTGTTGAATCGATGGTTCATGTTTATACTGCTTTACATTAGGACTATAAGCAAGTTGCATTAATTTGGTGATCCAGGTCGTATGCAAGGTAATTCCAATAGGAATTTTAGAATTTCACTGATATCCAAATGACCTCTGTAATCCAGTATTTCCACTTCTCGAGATGTTTTAAGTGCTTTAATTTTGTGTTTATTACATGTTGCATAAATTTGCTTGAAAGGGTTGCTAATAGTTTTACTTTTTCCTTCTTTCTGATTTGGCAGAAGTCTTAGGAATTGTAGCTTGCAGGGAGAAATTCCTGATTTTAGCAGGATACCTAACCTTCTTTATCTGTAAGTATGGAGATGGCTCAACAACCTTGAATTAATGGACACTATAATGCATTTATTTACTCTTCTATTTATACCTCTATTATCTAACCTTTTACTGGGTTCATTGCACAGAGATCTAAGCTGGAATCAACTGAGTGGATCCATACCTTCACATAGACTCTCTCACAATATGACTACAATGTATGCAAATGGCCCAAGTAAACTTTTAACTTGTCTGTCCAAAAAAAAAACTTGTAACTTGTTCTATTTATACTTCTTGCTGCATCAGCATGTTAACTTTAAATAAAAGTGACACAAAAAAATTATTACATATCACTGTCTGTGTTTAATCTGTGTAATTTATAAACTTTTCCTGTTTAATTTTCATTATTTATTGCAGCGATCTGTCAGATAACCAGCTTAATGGATCTATTCCTGAGAATTTCTCTGATCTTCCTTCACTTCAGAAATTGTGAGAATCTCCTAACTTCCCTAAATCTGTATTTCGTATAATATTGCACTTCTATGCAGACTGGATCTGATTTCTGTAATGACTTGTATTACAGGTCACTCGAGAATAATTTCTTGACTGGTTCTGTCCCTGCTATATGGTGGAACATATCTTTTAGTACAAGAGCAAGACTTAAACTGTAAATTCCTTTACCAAAAAAGTAGCATGAACATTTAAAGTTTGAGGACCTTAATGATTTAGTAATTTTTAGATTGAGCTTATTTAGAAGTTTGATGAATTTTGCAGTGATCTCCGGAACAATTCACTGTCGAACATATCGGGAGAGCTAAATCCTCCAGCAAATGTCACCTTGAGGTATGTTTCCAATGCAATGGCTTCAATCATATCCCTATTTTCAGAGTTGTTTCTTATATATTGTTCTGGATTTATTAGAGAAGATAGAATAAAAAAGAACCAATGGTTGAGGATGTTAAAAATGGGGACTTTTACAGATACACAAATTGATTAAATAGTTTCATGGAAATGAGGAAATGCACAAAATAATTGAATGCAAATTAAGAGTGGCACGAATGGTACAATTTCAATTAGGAGAGACATGTTACCAAATTTTAAAAAGCAACACGCATTGTTCTATAGTTGTATTCTCAACACAGGTGGATACAGCTAGGATTCCTTGGAGCTTTTTTCATTTCTTGTCTTTCATTTCCCTTCTCCAATGGCATATATTGGGAATTTTATGCTTGCTTTCATGTTATGGAGTGGTTAACTTGCCCATAAATTATGTCCTGTATTTAAAATTATTAGCAAAAATATACCATGTTTTACTTCTAGAAATTCAAATTCTCACTTATACCAGCTTTTCTCAGGCTTGAAGGAAATCCTATTTGCAAGAATTCAAGCATACAAAATGTAGGCCAGTTCTGTCGATCCGAAGCTGGAGGAGATGGAATCCCTGATAGTTCAACAAATTCAACTCCAAAAATGACCTGCCCTAGTCAAGCATGCCCAATAGATAATTTCTACGAATATGTCCCATCTTCCCCAGTGCCATGCTTTTGTGCATCACCTATAATAGTTGAATATCGTCTGAAAAGCCCTAGTTTTTCTTATTTTACTCCATATATTCAGAAGTTTGAAATATACTTCACTAGATCTCTCAACTTGAGCCTTTATCAACTATTTATTGATTCATTTGTCTGGCAAGAAGGACCTCGTCTACGGATGCATTTGAAGCTTTTCCCTATGTTCACTAATCCCCACTCAAATACTTTCAACTTTAGTGAGGTTCATCGAATTAGAGGAGTTTTAACATCGTGGGAACTTCCTCTAACTGATTTCTTTGGACCTTATGAGCTTCTCAACTTCACTCTGCTGGGACCTTATTCAAATAGTATGTACTTTAGCCTGGACATCTTCGTTTCAAGTCATTTTGGTCTAATTTATGAAATTATGCTGCATTTTTCTATTTGCTCATCAACCAGCACCAGCCTATGAGTATATTGGTCAATGTTCCTCCTGCATGTGATAACTCTTCTGTTTCTTAATTTTATTTTAGAATCAGGTTTAGTGCAGGTTTCTTGTTCTTAATTTCATTCTGCATCATGGTAACTTCACTTATATTGTTGTTATAGTGATCGTTGGGCAAAGAAGGATGGGCATTAGGAAGGGAATTTTGGCAGCTATTATAATAGGGGCAGTTGCATCGTTTGTCATTCTTTCTGCAACTGTCATGCTTTTGATCACAAGATGCTTGAGACACCGGGACAGACCACCTTCTAGGAGACATTCATGTAAGTCCTGAATACTTGGAGATACTATCAGGTTGATTATCAATTTATCATCCTAGAAAGTGGTATAAGTTCTTATCACTCTTTGCAGCCTCGAAGATTACAATGAAAATTGATGGCGTAAAGGCGTTCACTTTCAAAGAAATGACACTAGCTACCAGGAATTTTGATAGTTCAACTCAACTTGGACGAGGAGGTTATGGGAAAGTTTACAGAGGTATTTTATCTGATGACACAATTGTAGCCATAAAGCGTGCGGAAGAAGGATCCTTGCAGGGTGAAAAAGAATTCTTGACCGAGATAGAACTGTTATCGAGATTACATCACCGAAACTTGGTCTCTTTGGTGGGATATTGTGATGAAGAAGGGGAGCAGGTATGAGGTTTGCAGTCTTGGGAAATTAGTCATTGCTTCCAAGTTGCAACTGGTTTTTTTGTGCAGATGCTGGGTGAGTGCTTCAATGTATTAGAATCACATGAATGTAAATATCATTAATCAAATTATGTTCTTGGTGCTTGTGCAGATGCTGGTTTATGAGTTCATGCCCAATGGTACCTTAAGGGACTGGCTTTGTGGTATGAAATTTCCAACATTCCCAGATTCTTAAATGGCTCCTTCTATTCATCCATGCCTCTTTGGTTATTTCCATTGTTCTTCTCATCATTCCCCATTTTGGGACAAGATTTCTTTCTGCAGCTTGAGTTTCATCTAGCTAATTCTGCATTGAAATTTCTTCTTAAGTTCTGTACTTGCTGTGATATGACAGTTAAGGCCAAGGGAAGCCTGAGCTTTGGTATGAGGTTACAGATTGCATTGGGTTCAGCTAAAGGCATTCTTTATCTCCATAATGAGGCAAATCCTCCCATATTCCACCGAGACATTAAAGCCACCAACATACTTCTGGACTCCAACCTTATGGCTAAAGTAGCCGATTTCGGACTCTCACGGCTTGCTCCTCTACAGGATGATGAAGGGACCGGACCTTCATATGTATCTACAGCTGTGAGAGGAACACCGGTACATTTAGATTCTGCAAAACTTGAAATCAATCAAGAATAATATAATATCTGCTACTTTCAAATCCGTTGTGAGAAATTGAGAACCAAGAAGTATGCTTTGTTCCATTACTCTTTTGTTTTGGAACCAATCATACGTGCAGGGTTACCTGGATCCAGAGTACTTTTTGACAAGTAAGTTGACAGACAAAAGCGATGTCTATAGCCTTGGGATTGTGTTTCTGGAGCTCTTGACTGGTGTGCTGCCAATATCACATGGCAAAAACATTGTTCGTGAGGTAACACATTAAAACACCACTGCTCTTTCTGTGATCCATCTGCATATACCAAAAAAAAAATCATAAAAAATTATATTTATTTGTCAGGTGAATCTAGCTCATCAGGCCGGGTTGATGTTCTCCATTATAGACAGCAGAATGGGCTCCTATCCGTCGGAATGTGTAGAGAGGTTCCTAGCTTTGGCCCTTAGATGTTGTTATGAGAAGCAAGATAAGCGGCCAGCAATGCTGGAAGTGGTGAGGGAGCTTGAAAACATAATCAAAATCATGCCGGCAGCTGACACCATATTTTCACCATCTGCTGCCTCATACAGTGACCAATCACCAACCTCATCATCCTACTTGACTAGAGACACATCCTATATGTCCTCCAGTGTTGTAGGAAGTGATCTTTCCAGTGGTGTCGTCCCAACCATCGCGCCTCGATGATGAAAAATCTCCTCACATGCTAGTCACGTGATGCTGTATATATTTGCGTAGTATGAAAAGAAGTTATCCTTGAGGAGAATCTAGGGGGTTTCTTTGAACCCTTTTCTCCGTTTTCCAGATTACAGACAGAAAAATAACATCTTGTAGCTGAGTTTCGGATCTAAAATGTAGTTTTGTCTCGGTTTTTTTGGCTATCTAGAGAACGAAAATGTGAGTAATAATGAGTAGTGTAGTGTATGTACATAAGTTAGCATTTGAGATGTTGTTGTAGTGTAACAAAAGAATGATGGTCATTTTACTGCGTACTGAATTTTGAGTTGTTAGTTGTTGCTAACAGTAACTGAGGCAAAACTGCACTCTCTTCTTCATTTTTTCTCAGTTTCGGTTAGTGAACTGGACCGAACCAAACCAAACTGAGTGCAAAAAATCCTTAATATTTCTGATTGAAAAAAAAGTTCCCAAAATCTCTACTCTTTATAAAGTTCACACAACAATTTTCCTTCATAACAATGCAATAGTGACATCATAAGTCATTTTTCTTTTTTTAATTTCTTCAATTAACCCTTCTCTCTCTATATATATATATATATTTTTTAGAGTCACTGGTTTTAGACAAAAACGACGTGCTGCTGAGTGCTGATCCACAATATTAAATTAAGGGAGCTTCACTAATATACCCAAAATAGAGGCTGAAATTAAAAAAAAAAACTTCACATGGAATGCACTTTAGAAACACACCCAAAACTCATTTACTACATAAAAAATTGTTGTTGAAGTTCCTATAAATTACGTGACTGCCATTGATCAACTTAAAAGAAGCCCAACACAAAAAACTTTAAAAGCACCCAAAACAAGCCCAGCCCAATTTTATATAAATAAATAAATAAATAAAAAACCCAAACAATTCATTACAAACAAAATGTCTTGAAAACCATAACTTCATTAACGCATCATGTTGATTAATGATTGTAATGTTCCACACCATTACTTTCATGTTGATTAATGGCTGTAATGTTTCAATCTAGAGTAATAACACTACTAGTTTACTATCATGTTGATTAATGACTGTAATGTTCCAATCTAGGATAATAACACTGCTAGTTTCCTATGACATCCTATTTCTAATGCATGTCTACCTCTGTAATGTTCTAGTTTAGGGTAATAACACTACTAGTTTCCTATAACATTCTATTTCTAATGCATGTCTACCCCTGTAATGTTCCAGTCTAGCGTAATAACACTGCTAGTTTCCTATGACATCCTATTTCTAATGCATGTCTACCCATGTAATGTTCTAGTTTAGGGTAATAACACTGCTAATTTACTGTCATGTTGATTAATGTTTGTTGCTATTTCTAATACAGTTGGACTTGAGAATGGAAGCTCCTTTTGCTCCAACACTGAGAAAGCAACAGCGAGAAATGAGAAAATAGATCTGATTTGGTTTTTGGACAGATCTGGGCAGATCTGATTTTTCTCTCTCAAATCCGTAGTACAAGGATAGCTATTAAATCGAAAAAATTGATAGCTTTCGATTTTTGGGTTTTTTTTGGTGTATTTATATTTTTTGAATGGTATAGGATTTCTTTATAAGACTATGTCTAAGATTTAGTATATAACTAAATTTGTATTAAATTAAAGTCCCAACAAATTTCTTTTTGCTATTAAAATAAAAGAAATCCCACCGACGGCCAAATACCAATTGCCCATAACTTTACTCCCACGTACGTCCAATTAGAATTTGATTTCTTTGTCCCCGAATATGACGTTGTTTGATTTTAATCTGAATTTATTTGCAACCCAAAATCGGCGCAAGGGGTTTTTCCCGGAACCTTATCTCCTCTGTCTCCATCTGAATTCTTGTTGACTAACGTTGAGGCAAGCCCCGCCGCTCGCTGGTCCAAGAGCTATCTATGAGTATAATGCACGGTTCATATGGTTGTCATGTATTAATGCAAAATTTGGAGTCTTCACATCAAAATGACCACCAATTTTGTCATCCTTGAGGAAAAGACAATGCCAGTTTTCAAGTTGAGTTTCATTCATATATCAACATGACTGGAACTTGTGGAAACTTGTAAGCAATAATTGCAAGTCTTGATAGCAATTGGGTCTAATATTAAACTGGAAATACTAATAGGATGAATATTATAATGGAATTTGATGTTGACAATTTATGCCCTCTAATAAAAGCAGCAAATGCAAATTTGTACTTGCATTCGTACTTTGGCACGTCTTGCCAATGAACTCGAATCTTTTTGCTGATATAATTTTTTTATGGATTAAAAACCTTTGTGAAATAAAGATTTAGTAGCTACAGTTGATATTAGAAATCCAGTTAAATAGAAGTTCTAAACAAGGTAATCTCAGACACGCGTACGTTATCAACTTAACTCAACCCAAAACCAATATGGTTTTCTATGTTTATGACCGCTAACCAAGTATGTTCACGTACTTAACATAAATGTGATTTATTATTGATTGCTTATGAAAATGCTAAAAGCTTACTTGACAAAAATACTTTATACAATCCCAACATCAGCATAAAAACTTTCTTGTAACGGGAATATAGCACACTATTCCCGACCAATAATATGATGACAAATGAAAAAATTATCCCGCATATCATAATGCTATTGGTGGGGATAACAACCTTGCATGAAATTCTCTCTCCAAAACTAAGTCACTGAAATAAAGATATGTTGGATTTGTGGTTCGTGTAAATCCGCGCAAAGAATTTTGTAGTGGACTTTAGGTAATAGGTACAGAAAAGTTAACGTCTCTTGAAGCGAAAAATGACATTGCCTTCACACTCACTCACTTTCTCAAGGCGATAAAAAATTTGGAAGCAGATGCAAAGAAGACGCCATATGTCATTATTCTCCTCTTATCTCTTTCTACTTAAATTTAAAAAAGGGTTAATTGTTTTATTAGTCCCTGAATTTAGACCTAATTTGCATTTGAGTAACTCAATTTTCAAAATGGTTACCGTGGTCCTTTAACATTACTTTCGTTAGGACAAATGGTCCTACCGTCAATTTTGTTAACTTTTTCTATTAAATGCAGGGGCAAAATGATATTTTTATATTAAAACCAAAAAAATGAATAAAAAATCATATCTTTAAAATAACAATAAAATAAAATAAAATAAAAAACTAACCAAAAAAAAAAAAAAAAAATTAAGTTTGGGGGGAGTAGATGTCGAGATAGAGGGGGAGAGAGTTTAATTTTAATTTTTTAGTTTTTTAATATTTTATTCATATTTTAATCAATTTTGATTAAAAAATATATATATCATTTTGCCCCTGCATTTAACAGAAAAGTGAACAAAATTAACGGCAGGACCATTTGTCTTAACGAAACTGAAGTTGAAGGACCATGGGAACCATTTTGGAAATTGAGGTACTTAAATGCAAATCGGGTCTAAATTCATAGAGTAATAAAACGATTAACCCTTAAAAAAACTTATTTTGATGCTCATGATGACGAAAATGATGTATCTCAGGCCTTCTCTGCACACAGACTTCACCCTTCTTAGCCTTCCCATTGACTCGGCCTAGATGTTTGTGTTAGCAAGATTCTAGCTTAATTAGGATTATATTTCTTTCCTTTTGTACATATATTGTGTAATTATGATTTTATCTTGTTTCCTAGTTTGACCCTACTATGGTTACATTCTTGTATTATAAATACCTCCTTTTGGATAATAAAATACAACTTGAAAATATTCTACCCATATTGCTTGACTTGGCATCAGAGCCAACTTTTCTGGTGACCTGTGTGTTGTGCTGTCACATCCCGGGACCGGCTCCGCCATAGCACGATATTGTCCGCTTTGGGCCCCCCTTCTATGGCCCTCACGGTTTTGTTTCTGGGAGCTCACGACCAACTTCCTAGTGGGTCACCCATCCTGGGATTGCTCTGGCCCCCAACTCGCTTAACTTCGGAGTTCCTACGACTCCGAAGCCAGTGAGCTCCCAAAAGGCCTCGTGCTAGATGGATGCAGGCATGTACATATAAGGCACATCACCCCCTCTCCGTTGGTCGATGTGGGATCTTACATGTGCCCACCCGTGTTCTAGCCCCATATTTTTTTTTCTACTTGTGTTGTGTGTGCCCTCTTAGGTTTGTGTGTTGTGTTGTAGTGTTCGTGTCTCTATAGTATTCGTGTCATTCCTGTCTTCATGCATCTGTCGTATTTGTGCCTTTGTTGTGTTCCGATGTGTACTCTACCGTGTTCATGCCTGTCTTCATGCATCTGCTGTATTTGTGCCTTTGCTGTGTTACGTTGTATACTTTGTAGTGATCTGTTGAGTTTCTACTGCAATCATAGGTGATAACTTCATTATTGTTGTTGTTGCTGCTGCTTCTGCAAATTTGTGTGTTTCTGACTCTATTCCAGGTACTGGCTCCAATACTTGGATAATTGATACTGGTGCTTCTGATCATATGACTTATGATGCTAAATTTTTTTATGAGTTGTCCAGTAACACCCGTGACCCATACAGAACTAGTGCTAATAGCTTACCCTCTCCAATTACTGGCAAGGGCTTCGTGGGCTTGTAAATGGGCTCATGGGTAAGCCCATGAGGCCCTAGTAGCCTGCCCAACCTCTTTCTTCCTTCCCTCCTTTGAAGGAGAGGGGTCTTCTTTTATAGGGAAGGAAGAGTCCCCTTATCTTGTGTTTTGTCGATGTGGGACTCCCTTCCCTTTGCTTGGATTAGCTTGGAAATGCTTGGAAATGCTTGGCCAGATATTGTACAAACAGCTTACCCTCTCTAATTACTGGCAAGGGCACAACTCTCTCACTCCTACTATGTCCTTGTCTCGTGCATTATTATTTCCCAATATCCATTGTAACTTGTTATCTGTTGGTCGATTACTTGATACACTTAATGCTTCTGCTACTTTCTATCATACACATTGCTCTTTTCACGATCTCAAAACTCACGAGATGATAAAGCATGGTAAACGGATAAGGGGTTATATTATTTGACATTGCCTTCTGCACCAGTTCATGATCGTGTCATTAATACTATTCAAAGTTGCAGTGTCAAAGACAAACAGTAAATTTGGTTATGGTATCGTTGCTTGGGACACCCATCATTTGGCTACCTTAAGCATCTGTTTCTATCTTTGTTCTGCTTTTGTGATGAGTCTGGTTTTAAGTGTGAGACATGTATTTTGGCCAAGAGTCATCGCACTGTGCTTCCTTTGAGTGACAATAAAACTACAAAGCCTTTTAATTTAGTGCATTCTGATGTGTGGGATTTGGCTCGCGTTACTTCGAACAGATTTCGTTGGTTCGTCACATTTATTAATGATTATACCCAACTCACTTGGGTTTTCTT